ATGAGAAGAATAAGTCAGGGAAACTTATATGGAAAGGACTTTTACAGTACAGTTGAAGTATAATGAGCTTAGAAGAATTGTCTTTGAAGGAGATAGATACAGAGAACACAGAGAAGCTATAATGTTGGATTGTCTAATTTTGTAAAGCTAAACATGGAAGCATACTGAAGAAGTACATATGCATGTATTGATGAAGAAGAACATATATTATGTTTTGTAGAACATATGACATGTCACATATGCATGTTATGAGTATGGTTGAGAGAACATATGTCATATGGACATAGCATAAATATGTTTTGAAGGATAAGAACATGAACATGACTGAGGAATGTTGAATCAATGATTCATTTGAAGAGGAATCATTAAAAATAAATAAATGGATTGACTTCTCATTAAAGGTTTTGACCTTATAATATTGTAGACGGTAAAATCTACAGTTAATTCGGAAGGGATGGATCTTGTGAGAAGTGAGTCACTGATAATTGTATGGACTTACACAGAGAGAAAGAACGAACGTGAAGGCTCGGGGGACACCAATGTAATGCCTACCAAGCACTCTGATGCTCAAGTCAGCATGGTTGAAGGCAAGTTTAGCCTAGTTAGTAAATACGCATTTTATACGCGAATTATACGACTGGCCGTATAATTCGCGTATAAAACGCGTTTTGACGTATGTGATAAAACATGCCGAATTATACGCATATAATATGAATACCCGTATAATTCTGAATTATTCGCGTATTATTACAAAAAAAAAAAAAAAAAAAAAAAAAAAAAAAAAAAAACTCATTGCTCACCCCAAAACGACGTCGTTTTAGTGGGGTTTAATTCAAAATTAAACAAAATCTCCTCTTCTTTGGTTCTTCTTTTTCCTCAGTTCTTCGACGGACGACATTTTCAGCTTTTCTTCCTTAGTTCTTCCATGTTTTCAGCTTTTCTTCATCTCTTAGGTCTTCATCTTAGGAACCAGCAGAGTCATCAGAGGAAGCTCGGACGGCGAACTGGTTGAGATTTTTAACGGGTTTGTGTTTGTGTTTGGGGGAGAAGAATAAGTTTGAGGAAGGGAAAGTATTGGCAGAAAGAATAGCGCAAATGTCATTTTTGGAGCTCTGAAAGAAACAGCTGGCCTTGTGGGTGAGACACTGAGAGATGATTTGATTGAAGAAGAGAGAAGGAGAGGGGTTTTTAAGATAGGTCATGGGTGTTTTGTGTTTGTGGTGGATTTCAGTTTACGTGTCAATCTCAACACTCATGACTCAACACTGCAATTATGTTTCTATTGCACAAACCAATAAATAAATAAATATCTTTTCAAAGTACTTAGAACAAGACATGGGCTGGGAATTTGTTAACGCAAAGAAAAGAAAAGATTAATGTTAGTTAATTGAATACTCCCCATTTGAAATGTTATATTAATTTTAATTAGATACTCCATAAAAGTGCTAATTAATTTTAATCAGGTAGTCCATAAAAGTGTTAAAAACTATAATTGATATTGCCGTATTTTTCAAAATGTATTATTGCTAATATATCGTATTAAACCCGTATATACCCGTATCATATTTTTTCCGTATCCGAATTTTATAGCCAAATTTTTATAAACGTATTTTTCACCGTTTGCCATATTATACCCGTAAAATTCCCGTACCCTTTTTTTGCCGTACCCGTATTTACTAACTAGGAAGTTTAGTGAGGGTTGAGAGCGGGAAAGGGTTTGCCGTAATGTGACTAGGGCAGAACTAATACAAAGTGGTTGGAGTGTAGCTTTGCGGAGGCGAACAGTAGTAAAGTTAGTCAGAACTAAGCTTTACGGAGAGAAAAGACGGCGATTCTTGAAAGCAAGAATTTAGGAGCTAAAGTTTTAGGCTATTTGTGCATGCATAATGAGAGGCTTGACCTTTGTTTATATAGGAGCTCAAGGGAGCTTAAGTCTTAGTAAGACTTTGAGTCCTAATAGAACTTTGACTTCTACTTGATATAGGAGTCCCAATTAGGAAGGAACTCTTGTTCCTTGCCTTTATCGGTTCAAGAGTAGTAATTCATGTAAGATACTGGATCTTGAATTAATGAATTAGGAAGGTTATAGGATTTTGATTCCTATTTTGGGATGAAAGTAGGCTAATAGACTGGAGTCCAATTTAGCTTAATCTTATAAAAAGACCCAACTCATAGAGTGGCCCAAAGAGTAAGTTGGCCTAGTTTGTAGAGTGGCCTAACTCATAAAGTACCCTAGCTTGTGGAAATGGTTGACTTGTGGTGTGGTCCAGCTTGTAGAATGGGCCAGCCCATAGAATGTTCTTTCTCACTAATTAGGCCATCCCATAGGATAGTCAATCCACGAGATGGATTTAAGCATAGGCCCAACTAGAATTAGGCTAAGACACTAGGTCGTAATATGTGTATTTTGTTATTGGGCCTAATGAGGTCTAGTATGATTTTTTGCCTAGACAAATATAAAAATAATTTAAAAAGGTTACGCTCTTCATAAGGTTCAGACCTCATAATAAAAAAAAAAAAAAAAAAAAAAAATGCTCAATAGAGTATCAAATTCATAATACAAATTCCAATCTCATGGAGATTTTGAAAGACTAAAAGAGGGCATATTGTAGTGTATATTTAGTTAAAACACTCATTAGAGAAATAAGATAGTAAGTTTAAAAGTAGAGGTAGGCAAAGGCTCGGGCCCGAGCCCGATCTAGGCCCAATATGATTGGTCCCAAATTGGCATCGTCCTTCAAGGACCGGTCCTCATTTGGCTGGGACTGGTTGTGGGCCCATGAAAATTCTTAGGGCCCAAACCAGTCCTAGGATCGGCCATGGGCCCATAGGGCCGATCCTATGGGCCCATGGCTTAATTTTTTTTTTTATATATTTAGGGGTTAAATTAAAATTATGTAAGGGGGTTTATGTAATTTTTCAGGGGTTATTTGTAAATTTTAATTAATTAGTAAATAAATATAAATGAATGGTTATAATGGTTTTAATTTAAAGAGATAATTTAATTTTAGCTTTGAAATTTTAATTTGAACTTAAACAATTATATAAATATAAGGATGATCAATTGGTTATAAATTTATATGGTTTTAATTCAAAGAGATAATTTAATTTTAACATAAATACAATATTGACACTTCACAATGTGCAAATTTAATTTAAACTTAAAAAAATAAAGAATTAAATAAATTTGTTTTCATTAAATTATTGATTTACATCGTCCAAATTTGTGTTTTTGAAGAGGTCAAATAGTTTGGGATCTTCAAGGTGCTACTGTAGTCTTTTGTCTGCATGAGTACAATCCTGTAAACATTTTATGACTTTAACCATCTTATTGGTTAAAAAACATCTTCTGTCTTCAATAATGCAGCCACTAATTGAGAATGTTAATTCAGATGCAATTGTGAAAACTATCACACATAGAATGTCACGTGCCATTTGGGCTACAATGGGGAATCGACTTGCATTTTGGTTCCCCCATTAAAGCAGATCCATTTCGCTTTTCTCCTTCTTGGTCATGTAGGACATGTCCATTTGTAGATATTGCTGCAACTCATTTGGTCCATGTCTGTATGAGCTGGAGCTACTACTTCTACCATAGCACCACTACTAAGTTCCATATACGTGTACATACTTGATCCCTGTTGATAAATGTCTTCATCAGCTTTCTGCTGGATGTTCCACTGTACCTATTCTAATATAAAGAAAAAAGGCTTTCTAATTTTCTGTTAAATTTTATCAAATAAAAACTATAGTCATGTCCTAAATGCTGACCTATTTCAATAACCATACAATTAAATATGTTTAATTTAAACATAGGATCTACAATAAGACCTAATCCATATAATAATGAAATATCTAACCAATATTTCTGGTATTTTGCTTCCATGTCTGAAACAATATCCATAAAATCTGGATTCTATCTATGTTTAGCAAAAGTTTTAGAAATTTTGAAGTAAAATATTTAACGCTAAATTAGTAGTAGAATAATAAATACCACTTAATGTATTGGTGGAATCATAAAAATATTTAAGAAATGAATGAAAAAGAATGCAAACCGTTCAATTTGAATCGTTGACGACTTCGTTTGGATAGTTCTTCCAGTTGACGAACTTTATAATTTGTGTTGTAGTTGGCATGACTTTTTACAACATCAAGTACAGTAGAGTTCCAACGGACAGACATGTTGCAACATAACTTCTTTGGTCGAACCAACGACTTCTCTTAATGATAATATTTTACGTACTCATTCCATCTTATATTGCTACCGACAATATGATTGGTTGATTTCAAATTAAAAATAAACTTTCAACCAATCATTTTTTGTTACATAATGTTGTATGAGAAATATTATATAAAAATATTGTATATGTAATATTATGCCTCTAAATTTTCTTAGTCAATTAAACATTTTGTTTTATTTTAACTATTTGTTTGTTTGATAAAAAATATGAATAAAACGTTAAATAAACTAATTAACAAAAAAAAGAATTCAAATAAGAAAAAAATAAATTTAAAATTTAAAAATTGGCAAAAAGAGTCTAAACAAAAAAATCTAATTAAGTTTGGAGGGTATAAAAGACTCATAAATTAGATGAGGCGAAAAATTCTTTTTTTTTTTTATGAGTAATGCTACAGCCATCGACGGTAGTGTACCGAATTTGTGTACCGAATGACGTTACAAAATCCTGACCGTTGATTAATTTTAAATTTTAAATTAATCAACGGTCAGGATTTTGTCACGTCATTCGGTGCAAAATTCGGTATACCTCTGTCGGTGGTTATATTATTTTTCTTTTTTTATTTGGTCCATACTTTTAAAATCTGGGCCAGATATGGACCCAGCATAAACATAATCCGACCTGGACATATCCCATTTCGATCAATTAAGTTCGGCTTTACTTCTGAAAAACCAAGTCTGGAGAAGCCCATTTGTGAATAAATCCATCCAGCCCTACATACTGTTGAACCTCCATATACATTTGACTTTCATTTAGCCCAAATCAGTTTTTGAACTGACATTTGGAACATTTCCAGAAGAAAACAGAGCAGAGACGATGGTGCCACCGGTTCCGATTCCTTGGCACACAGTCATTTTATGTCTCATGCTGTTATTTCTTATCTCTCCATCATTCGCCATTTACTGCGACGAGGAAGATTGCTACGATCTACTGGGGTCAGCTCAGTTTCTTCACATCTCCTTTCCCAAATTATGCCTCGTTTTAATCTCCTTTTGACCTTTTTTCTTCAATCTTTCTGAATTTCTAGGGTGTCTCAAAATGCAAATGCATCTGAAATCAAAAAAGCTTACTATAAGCTCTCTTTGAAATAGTAAGTTTGTATTTATTGATTTTATTATATATGAATTTTTTTTTTTTTTTTTTATTGATTTATACTTTGTTTTTATGATGTGGTTAGTCATCCCGATAAAAACCCGGATCCGGAATCAAGGAAGTTGTTCGTGAAAATTGCAAATGCTTATGAGGTAATATGATTTTAAATTGTTTAATCACATAATTTTTTTACTTGCTGTCAATTCTTGATGATGATTCACATGTTTTGATTATATTAAAATTGTGTTGTATATTGCAGATTTTAAAAGATGAAGCCACAAGGGAGCAGTATGATTATGCAATTGCACATCCAGAAGAGGTTCACAAGAGTTTTAATTAAGATAATATAATTGCTAATGTCATTCTATAGTTTCAATGTAATGTATTTTTATCTCAATGGTTATGTATTTTTAAATCTGAAATTGCATTCTCTTGTTAGCAATTTAGGGAAGAACAATTATGCTGTGATTCAAGGGATTAATTTGAAAAGGAATTCTTAAGCTTAATTTGGAATTAACTTTTTGATGACTCAATATTAATTCTTGACTTTATTTTTTCATATTCTCTCTGCATTAGGCTTTGCTTATGCTAACTTGCACCATTCACTATTGATGAATTATTTAGAAGTCTTGAATAGTTTGTGAAAGATTATTTTTTCTGGACTTTTACTGCTATTTTGGGGAAAAATAAGTGTTATTGAGCTTGCTTTTTGTAGTTTAAACTTCAATTCCGCATGACAGAATAGGGACATTAACTACAATGTATGTTCGACGGCTCAGTTTATATTACCATGCATGTTGATTAACTTTAGCGATTCCATGCTACAGTCAATGAATATTTAAATTGTTGAATGATTTTTCTAAGTTCAATTTCTATGCATTTATAATGTATATTTGATAAGTAAGCTTAGTCCTAGTTTTCTGATTGGAGATATGACATTAAATGGTTGCATTTTTCCTCCAAGCTCCTCTTATAAACTGATTTGGTTTATAGCTAATAGTATAATACATTTCTATATAACAATAATCTAGTATGTTCACTCTCAAACACCTGTGAATATTCTTGTCTATGAGATTATTTTGGCTTCTTAAGGTTGATTAATTCATTAAAATTCCTAGACTTGAGCAGTTAATTTATGAGACTGTTATGAATAAAATGTCCTAAGCCTGCCATTCTTTTTCTTGTTAGGTATTTTACAATACAGCTCGTTACTATCGTGCTTATTATGGACACAAGACGGTGAGAGAACTTATTTATTATGCACCTAATATGTAGTGATTTTTGTTTAACTTTTCTGGAAATAGTTAGACTAGACTTAGTAGTTTATATGTAAGAAAAAACCAAAAAGAAAAAAAATAAGACTCTGGTCTTTGAATTTTGATTTTTTTAACCAATAATGTATACTCTTTCCAGGATCCTCGTGCTGTGTTGGTTGGTCTTCTTCTGATTCTCTCAGGATTTCAGTATCTAAATCAATGGACGAGGTATAATCAGGTACCATGATATATCAAATACATGATTATGTATGATCCTTGATGCGATTGTGTTTCACCAATATGGCTGAAAGCTGATATGCTAGTAATTAATTTTTTATGTAATATGACTGTTAGTGTATTATTATGAAATTTTGGTGAGCGCACTGGGGATTTTCTGAGTGTTGGTACTAAGATTTGTATTTATTCATGGTTTAGACACCATCTTGAATCCAAAAATATAAGTTAATGGGTCATGGGCAAATTCCTTGTATATAAGTGTTAAATTTTCTGGTTATTTAATCTACTCATTTATTTTTTTAATGTTGGATTTATTTGGTTACTCATAAGATCAAATTCAAATAATAATAATAATAATCATAATAATAATAATAATAATAATAATAATAAAAATTATATGTCTAGAGTTTTATGTGAGGTACCGTATGCGAAATGAACTCTGTTACACATCTTTACATACTCTTAGTGTGTACTAGTTACATAAATTATATAGACTTTAAAAGTTGCTTATTTTGATCATCTTCTTCAATTTTGGTTCTTGATTCAGGCTGTAGCCACGGTCAAGAAGACACCAGCTTACAGAAATAGACTGCGGGCACTGGAACTTGAACGTAGTGGGGGTATCACAAATAAGAAGAAGGGGAACAAGCAAATGGACAAGTTTGTACCTAATTTTTACTAGAAATTGGCTATGTGGATTTGATTGTCATGCATTACCCTTTTGTGATGTTTGATACTCCATTCTACAATTCTCAAAATATGGCTGAGTAAAGAAACTATTTTTTGTGGCAGGAAAACGGAGGAAGACCTCAGCAAAGAACTTGATCTGCAGATAAAGGGAGCTGAAAAACCCTCCGTCTGGGAACTTATTGGTGTCCGTTTTGTCCTCCTACCTTATACTATTTCCAAGGTTAGGAAAATTAATTTGTTAGTTGAGAATAGGCACAACTTTGACTGAAATTAGTAGAGGATGATAGTTATTGCTTTTTAACTGATTTTATTTTGTTGTCTTCTAGTGATGCTTTACTAAGAATCTGATCATAGTGCTTTAAGACTACAAGGGTTCTGACTTATTCTTTCCATCAGCTGTTGTTGTGGTCTGGGCATTGGTACTGCAGATACAACATGAAAAAAGCTCCATATTCTTGGGAAGATGCTTCTTACCTGACTCAAAAATCCCTTGCAGTTGGTCTTGATGCTTGGATGAGTATTGGTAACTTTTAACGAAATTCTTGAATTTCATTTTCCAGATTAAGCAGCATAACCCTCTTTTCTTGGCTCTAAAGGGAGCATATTTATGTATTATAGGATTTCTTAGCGTATCTCTGATGAAAATTATAGCAATAGCCAAAAATAGTTTTTATTATGGATCCATAACATACACATACTGGACATTTATTTTTTTCTCAGCCGTTACTTGTAATTAAAGCTTTTGCTGAAGTTATGTGTGGTGTGTTTGTTAGATGAATCAACTAAGGAAGATCTTGTTCGGAGACGTTTATGGGAGAAATCCAACTTGGAGACTTACATGGCAGAAATACGTAAAGAATCTAAGCGCAGAAGATAGTAAATTTTGTTGATTGCTATCACATGCTTCATGAAAACCGATTGAATGGGTTTTTGGTCGAAAAAGGGATGTCAAATGTCCCAAATGTTTGGAGCCTGCAAGTCCCGTGCCAGTAAGGTGGATTTGGTCAACAAATTTTGGTTTGGAGCAGACATGAGTTTGAATCCCTTGACCCAAATTTATTGTGGGGCATGAATGGGGATATTAACTTTCACGGTTTCACGCCGTCCCACTCCCATCTCACCTGGCAAATTTATATATTACACACAGACATATATATATATATACATGTTAGAAATCAAAATATTATTTTTTAAAACGCAATTTTTTTCTTTCTTTTGTGAAGTTATTTGATACAAAAGAATTTTTTTTTTTTTTTGTTTTTTTTTTTTTTTTTGCTAATTTGAACTTTTAGACTTGATTCTCTTATTTTTGATTTATGTTAGTGAAGTTTGTTATAAACACATGTATTTTGAATAAAAAAATGTGCACTACTTTTTTATTTCCAATTTTTTGTTATTATAAAGGCTGAAAGCATATGTTCACTCTAGCAGTCTAGCTTTATCGAATCTACAAAGACGTGGAAGGGTTACAAATGCCAAAAATTATGTGAATTTGATTTTTATTAAATAACGGCAACGCAGATATGGTTCATGTTGCCAATTTTTAATTTACCAATTATAAGCCTCTAAGTTTGAAATTTTAGAAGGCACTTTGTATCATTTTGTAATTACTTTTGGACGTACAGTTAATACGATCACTTCTTGCTAAATTTCAGTTCAAGTTGCATCTCTCAAGAAAAAAAAAAAAAAAAACGCTTCGGTTTTAAAAGTAAAAGCAATTGACAAAACAAAATGAAAATCTCATAAATTTCTTTTGTTTTACAAAATTAAATAAAACAAAAATTCTTTAAATTTACCTTTTTTTGTGATAAGATGGTAAGTTTTTTAGCCAAACCTTAGTTATGGTCAAGAGTTTTGTATTTAAATAGCAGAAGAAGTACTTATCACATTTAGTCAAACTTTATAGAAATAATATGTCTGAATACCTCGAGTGTAAAAAAAAAAAAAAAAATCTTATAAATTTTGTCTAAAGTTGACCAATAAGTGATTATCGGACAAGATATTTTGATGAAGCTAATGTGGATTATTTTTTCCTGACAGGTTTTTTAAGGCGAGTTGTTGAGCTTATTGGTGCTTAATTCGTTGACGTAGAAGCTTTGATTTGGAGCTTCATTTGTTGATGCAACAATCTGTTAAGACTTAATTAAATTGATTAGGGTTAATTTTGATGTGATGAAATTTGTGGGTGATGAGGTTTTGGTTGGAAAATGAAAAAAAAAAAAAATTTGACAGAAAATTTGTGGGATGAATAAGAGTTTATAAAGTTTATTGGGTAAACAAGAAAATATTTTAAATTTTGTTGGAAGAATATAAGATTTTGATTTAAGGGTAAAATTGTAATTTCAATTATACTGGGAATGCATATAATAAACATGGGGTTTTCAATAAAAAGAAGAAGCTCCAGAGAAATCGAGGCGTATTGTCTATCACCGAAAGCTTAAGCTTAAACCTTTGTCAGTGATCAGTCTCGCTGGTTCTCGGTCAGAGTTTTGGAAGCACGGCATCAACTGCATTTCATGCAACAGTCATCAATGTCCGGTATCGTGGTTGGGCATCTGGTTCCACTTGATGACACTCTAAAACAAGACACTTCACTCCCGAAACTCCCTCTCTCTCAAGGCCCAAACACCATTGGCCGCGCCAATATTCCTCTATCCGACAAGCGACTCAGCCGAAAACACCTCACTTTAACTGCCTCCACTGATGGCTTCGCTACTTTATACGTGGTAATTTATACATATTTTACTTTCTTAATTTTGTTTGTGTCCATGTTTTATTTGATATTGTGGAGTGAAAATTCCAGGAAGGAACTAATCCTGTGGTTGTTAAATCCGGTGAACAAAGAAAGAAGCTGACTTCTAGTGAACACGTGTCAATCGCTAACGGTGATATCATAGAGTTGATTCCTGGACATCATTTTTTCAAGTATGTTACTTTGCCTCAAAAGAGACCTTCTAGTCATGAATCAACAAAGGAAGACGTTAATCCAAAGAAAATGCGACGAGAGGTGTGCAATTTATTTATTTATTTTTTCTGTTTTTAATTTTACTTTCCATTATTTGTAGCATTTTTAATTCATAGTAATTCGTAAAGGTTGAACCCAAACATGAAGAAGGAGGAAACTGTGAGGAGGCTATACGAAATTTTCATGTTTCATCTGATAAGTTACCGTTAACTTATCAGCTGCTGCAAGTTCAAGGGCTGCCAGCGTGGGCTAATACTTCTTGTGTTTCTATTCGGGATGTGATTCAGGTAAATTTATGTTCTTTTACTACGGTCAGAACATTTTCTTTTTCGAGTATCCATTTAGCATTATTCTTTAGTTGAATGTATATGAATGTCAATGATTATCGTGATCCATTTAATTATTTGTTTGGTAGGGAGATATTGTTGTTGCTATTTTATCAAATTACATGGTGGATATCGATTGGTTGTTACCTGGTGAGTTCCTTTTCCTACTAATATTTTTCCTACTTTCTTGTTCCTTTAAATTTCCATATCTTTAGATGATTATAAGTTGCTCCCTATGACCCCAGCATCTGCAAGACATAACCCCGATTTTTTATTAGTTGCCTTGAAATTTTGCAAGGGAACTGAACATATCATTATCTTATTAGCAATACTACAGGTGGAGACAGTAAGATAAAGGAACTATGTTCTTAATGACATATTTAACGAATTTTCTGGTATAATTATGTTATTTTTTAAGCAAATATGAAACACCTTAGCTACATATCAAAGCTCATCTTACAATTTGATACATCTTTCGAAGTTTGCAATGGTGGCTAATTTACGGGAGAAATCGGGGCTCCTGTGCTATTGACATCTATATTGCCAAATGGCAGTGCAAAAGACAATCCCTTGAACATGAATCAAATGAGAGATGGAGTTAACTCTCCCAAGTTGGACTTCTTCCATAGGGGCTGTCACTGCAGTAACCTAGAGGTGTTTGTGATGGGTATCTGTTTTCAAGCATTAAATATGGTTTATATTGCTGCATAAATGGGTTTGCCAATATTTTTGAAAAAATTCCTTATTAGATTATTCTTCTTTGTTGTTGTTATGCTTTTGTTATTATTCTTCTTTGTTGTTGTTATGCTTTTGTTGCACCTATCTTAGGTGTGATGTGTATTTTCACGATTTGTATAGATTGATTATTGGCTTGGTTCCTGTGATTTTGTTCCATTCTTTCCTTTGTAATCTTGTGGTATTTTCCTTGTAGCTTGTCCTACGCTTGCCAAAATTCCCAATGTGTTGGTAATTCATGGGGAGAATGATGGTACAGTGGAACAGAGGAAGGTGTAGTATAACTCTAATTTATACTAATATTCTTTTATATTTGAAGTTTTATTTATGAAAACATTGCAGAGGAGGAAGCCAGCAAATTGGATTTTTCACAAACCCCCACTACCTATTGCATACGGGACACACCACTCAAAGGCCATGCTTCTGGTCTATCTTCAGGGAGTAAGAATTATTGTGCATACAGCAAACTTGATATATGTTGACTGGAATAACAAAACTCAAGGTTTGTGGATGCAAGATTTCCCCTGGAAGGATCTAAATAATCCAAGCAAAGGCTGTGGGTTTGAAACAGATTTGGTTGATTATCTCAGTGCATTGAAGGTATTGATATCTGTAGAATGTTAGAGAATGCCATCTGTTAAGAGGCATGTGTGGTTTTCTTGATCAATTGTTATATTGCTTCATAAAATTTATTTAAGAATACTGCTTCACATTTGAAAGTTTGACGGCCTTTCTTTTTTTTTGCTTATACGTCTCTTCTCTGAAAAGAAACGGATGCCTCCATCATGTGCATAAGATATCATGTTACATCATTGTCTTAATATTAATAATAATAATAAAGCTTGCTAGGATGAAATTGTTTTGGTTTTTGATTGGTTTTCCAATCTAAGCTCTATCAGCTATTTGTGTCTTGTCTTATTACTCTTCTTTAGGAAAAAATATTGATAGACTGCTTTATTGTCTAGGGTGTGATACACTTGTATTTTTCAAATGCTATGCTGGAAACGAAAGTGATGTACTTCTGAACAAACTTTTTTGAATGGTAATGAATAGAGGAAGTTATTTCTCCAAATTAGATTGAGAAGAAGCCTGTGAATTTTCTTCTTCTCCAAAGATCACTCACATGACGATGGAAGGTTTTTATATATTTATGTTTCTCATATTGTCCCCTTCCAGTATTTGGCAGTTGTATGTATATTCTGAGGATTAGAGTTTATGGTTTGTGGTTTAAGGTTATCATTGTTACTATTGCTTTCACTTTTGAATGGATGAGTGTTCTTCAATAATTAGTTCCCAACGTAATAAAATAAAATATTTGCAGAAATATATTCTATTAACAACTTAACTTTTCAATTTGACATTTTATGTTGGAAATATTAATGTACCCTGTAGAATTAAATGCTTCAATTATTTCTCCCTGCCTCATGTGTTATAGGAGATTCAGCTGAATTTTTCAGCTTTTAGCAGAGTTATGGATATTATATTCTCCTCTAAAGTTGTGAACCAAGCCATTCATATTTCATTTGTCTGTCTCACTGAAATGAGCAGAATATAGGTTATGCACGGGAGTAGAAATGTAGTGTAAATCAATGTTGACCCATATTCAGCGTATTGATGTTGATTTTTTTTTTTTTTTTTCCCATTTGAATATGTCAGTGGCCTGAATTCAGTGCCAATATACCAGCCCTTGGCAACTTCAAAATCAATCCATCATTTTTCAGAAAGTTTGACTATAGCAGCTCTGCGGTATTCTTTCCTCTTAATTTCTTTTTTCCTGAATGATATTTCAGCTTTAAGTGGAGGATATTATGTTTAACAAAGTCTCTATTTTCAGTAGCATGCTATAATATGTGACCATATAATGCTTTGTTATAAATTTTCAGGTCCGGTTAATTGCTTCAGTCCCTGGCTATCATACTGGTCCCAATTTGAAAAAGTGGGGACATATGAAGCTACGAACTGTTCTTGAAGAGAGTATTTTTGACAAAGAGTTCCAGAAATCTCCTCTTATTTATCAGGTAGGGTTCAAGATTTCATATGTTAACAATAGTCATGCATTCACATATAGGGGGACATTTCAATGTTCTTTGCTTTCTGTGACCAGAGAAAGAGTTAAATTGCGCATTACTCTATTTAGTGACTTTTTTCACATTTAATTCCACTGTCTGTTATGGGGTTATGGGCCTAGTCTTTTCATCTGACCTCTTCTGCTAATGATTTATGAGCATGATCAGTGCTATGCGGTATGCCAGTACTACTAGGGAGTACAGAGGCCCTTCTTTTTAAGGATGATTTTCGTGAATGATGGTTGTGTAAATTTTATTTCTCTTGAAGGATTTTATTCTAATTAATTTATGGACTTTTTCATGGCAGTTCTCATCCCTTGGTTCTTTGGATGAGAAGTGGATGGCTGAGCTGAAATGCTCTATGTCGTCAGGTTTATCAGAAGATAAGAGACCACTTGGAATTGGGGAACCACTAATAATATGGCCGACTGTGGAAGATGTCAGATGCTCTTTAGAGGTACTATCAAGTAGGTTATTCCTGTGAACTTTTTTTATCATTCATTTCTTGGAATACTGCAATCATTTACCAATATGGCCAGCTTCTGAAAGCTGGTTGTAGTTGGAAATTTGGTCGACTTAGCCATTTTCTGGGAAGGCTGGTCCCTTACCTGGATCTATGAAGACAAAATATTGACATTCAGTTAGAAACCGACAGTCAAGCTAAACACTTCATCAACTGAATTTTAAAACTGTAAACATTTGTCACCTGACTTGCATCAATTAGTTGGTTTAAATCTTCAAATTTTAGCAGTATCCTGGAATGAATGAATTCCGTCTGGAAACATTAAGTAAACTTCTCTACATATTCTTGAAAGGTTGCGTGACCCTTAGTATAGCCTTTTCTGGTTGTATAATCAAAATGTGAGTGCCAATGATTAAGATGAATTGCAAGTTTCAAATTATTTCAGATGTGTGCAAATGACTAATTTACATGAATTACTTCCTAAAATGAAGAAAAAAAAAAAAAAAAAGGTGATATCTGAATTTCTTAATTTGTTCTTTCAGTAATGAAATAAATTGTGTCAGTCTTCCTTTTAGTAATAAAGATCTCTATATCAACTCTATATTTTAGCAATTGCCAAAATTTGAAAACTTTATATTCAAACATTTCTTGATTTAAAGTTATGGAAGCCCAAAAGTTAATATTGTATTTTTATGTAGTTTGGAAATATATTAGGCATTATAATCTTGATTCCTTTTGTTGGTTTTCTTTTATTCTGAATTAAGCATTTATTCCGAGTGATAAAAGCTATTTTGAATTTAAAGAAGAAACAAGTTTATCTGATGTAGCAAACTTGATAAATTTTTAGTCTCTTCTTGTTTCTTATTTTAAATTTCTTTAAGTAAATTTTAGTAGTCACCATGCTTCTTAGAAGTGGAATTTGAATGAATTCTCATAAAAAATTAAGTTGTCTGGATCCTTTGGCTACTTCTGATTTGGTGTTATTTGGTTTCTGGTATAAATAAATGCAGAGAAAAGTTGGATTGCATTTCTCTTTTTGGTTTATATATATGTTGGATTTGTCAGTTTGCATTCTACTTACATTTCTACACCTAATTTACGTTTGTATTTCATTTATTATTCTATTTTTTCTCTAGGGTTATGCAGCTGGAAATGCCATTCCAAGCCCACACAAGAATGTGGATAAAGAATTCTTGAAGAAGTACTGGGCTAAATGGAAGGCAAACCACACTGGCCGCTGGTAAATATATTGATATACATGTCTCATGCATATTGAAAGTTTGGACAGAGACCGCTAATTAACATCTTTGAACTGTAATCCATATTCAAAATTTTGCCCTTTGCACTCATCTCAGAAATAAAAGAGCGGCTACCTGCTACTGTGTACAACTTTAGTGTAGCCAAATACTCATTTAAGAAACTAATAAATTGCTTGTATTATCTCATAACATTTAACATTCTCTACTCTGTCAAAATGTGGTTACCATCTTACAGAAGGTTCACAAGTTATTACAATTAAATGTTGGAAGTGCTATTTAGTTTGTTGTTTACTTTGAGGGTACATTTTTCATTCTTTCCTTCTCTTTCAGAACTTCTATTATACATTCAGCAGCTGAAATATTTTTTTGGAAATTAAGTGGATGTAGACAACTCAGGTTGAGCTCTTGCTTCAGATGACAGCACCTAAAAAGATGCCCCCAAAAAGAAAAAAAAGTACTGAGATCCATTCTATTAATTCTCCAAACAATTTATCTAGATGCGTTGTCTTAGTTTCATTAAGACTAGGCAAGATATGCTTACCGCCTGGACCAACTTCGAAAATTGGCGACTGCCTGTAGTGAATTTTAGGTTGATCCAATATGCCTGTGGACATAAGTGAGAACTTTTCATTCATAGTTCTCATTATTTAAGTGCGAACAGTTCTTGGCCAGATAAATAGGAGGACATTGATTGTACTTTATATTGATTTTTCCCTAAGTTTAACATCATCAGTTCAATTTGATTATGAGTGTTGCTATCCTTGGTTTATTAATAGGATGATGTTGATAATGTATTCACAGTTTTTATTATTTAACTGCTTGCAGTTCTCTTTACGATGCATTTATAAAGTGGCACCCTTATATTTTTTGTCTGTCTTTGATTTGGTTACCTTTTCCTTTATTTACCCTAATTCAGGTTGTTTTGTTTCTTACTACTTAGCTTTTTCCATGTTTCAGTCGTGCAATGCCACATATAAAGACATTCTTACGTTACAATGGTCAGAAACTGGCGTAAGTGTTCATACCAGATGCGTCGATTGTGGCTTTAGAAGCTTTTTAAGTTTTAATTATCTTTGGCTGATTACTGTGCCAAATCAATGTACTAGAGCTCAAACTGTGAAATCTTAATTTTCTTGCCCCTGCAGTTGGTTCTTGCTGAGTTCAGCAAATCTTAGTAAGGCTGCCTGGGGAACACTTCAGAAGAATAATTCTCAGTTGATGGTTCGTTCTTATGAGGTATGTGTATTGTAAATTATGGCATCTTACAATTCAGTTGAATTGAGAAAATATGACAGCTTCATTTACTATGAACCAACCTGTTTTCAGTGCATATCTGTTTTTCTTAGAATTTGCATTTATACGATCAATGGATCATTAAAATTTTTTTTTTTTTTTAGGTAATTGAGGTATCTAGGTCCGTATTGGAGTCTATCTACTCTTTCGCATATTTATTTATTCATTTGCTTCTTTGGGTTGTTTCCATGAATTATTCTAGTTGGGAGTGCTATTTTTACCATCTGGTACAAAGCATGGTTGTAGATTTTCTTGTACAAATAATGGTGGTTCATCCAAGGTAATGGCTTACATTCTTATAAATGTTCGTACTCATCTAAGAGGCATACAATTTTATTCGGAGAAAAATATAAAATTAATCTGATAGTTGCTTTATTTTCAGAGTGAAAGTGGTACAATAGAAAATACCATGTCACTGAAAACTAAGCTAGTGACCCTGACTTGGCAAGGGAGCCGGAATACAGATGAATTCTCTGAAATAATTACTTTGCCTGTACCTTATGAACTCCCTCCTCAACGATATTCCTCTGAAGGTAATTTTTCTGTTATTTAAATTTACTGCTACACTTTTATTGTCTCATTGATCTGGCTTTCATTTATCTGCTCCGCAGATGTCCCTTGGTCGTGGGATAGGCGATACAGCAAGAAGGATGTTTATGGTCAAGTTTGGCCTCGGCAAGTTCAACTGTATGCTTGCCAAGATTCCTGATTTATTAGATGTGCTTCAAGTTTTCTGTAGTTAGATATTTTCCTTTTTAAGACACGCCCCGTCTAGGCTCTACTTGTAGAAGGATGAGGTTGATCTCTGCTCCTTCTGTTTAATTCTTTCTATTATTCCTAAAATATTAGGTTTTGATGTATCTACTAGCCCAGATTTTATCTACTTCTAAGTAGAGGTGTGCAAAACCGGTTAACCGGTTCGAAGCGACCCTTTTTCCAATTGAACTGGATTTTTGGTTCGGAAAAAATCTTGAATTGAAACAGAATTGGTTTAGTAGATTAACTTGTTTTAAACCAAACCGAAAAATCAGTTAACCGGTTTTTCAAAAACCGGTTACCCGTTTTGAACCGGTTCATTTAAAAAAATAAAATCATTTCAGTAATTTTAATTGCAATACATATGAAAATGGTACATAAGCAACAGTCAAAGGTGATCTTCTAACCATATATGTAAGATTGAAGTAAAGAAAATATTCATTATTCAAGATTGAAGTAAAGAAATAAAACATACCAAATTCTTGTATTATTTAAGGAACAATTAATTTGGCCTTGTTTGTTTCACTCTTCATAATCATTTTTTTTTTGGTTATCCTATTTGGATTAAAAAAAAGAATATGTATAGTTTAAGAATTAACTAAAGCATCCCAACCAGCAATCATAACCAGTTGTCGATCGTCACAATTGTTGGCCGTGGCCATAGATGTCGGAATGATGCACGATCGGTCGGAGTTGGTCGGTTGTGCACTGATCTTGTCATTTTTAGTCAGATCTACAGCCAGTGATCTGGCTATTAATGACCAAATTCTAACTAGATTTGGCTGTTAATGATCGGATCTATTTGGTTGTCGACGACGGCCAAATAATGGTGGTAGAGTTGGACCGGTCAGATCCAGCCAGTCGTAAGCCTTTTCGGTGATTATCGGCTGTCGTCTGGCGATGGTGATAGGGGGCCGGGGGGGGGGGGGGGGGGGGGAGGGGGGGGGGAGGGGGGGGGGGGGGGGGGGGGGGGGGGGGGGGGGGGGGGGGGGGGGGGGGGGGGGGGGGGGGGGGGGGGGGGGTGGTGTGGTGGTGTTGAAGCAACTAAATTAACAAATGTAAGGGCTTAAAAATAATCTAAATATTTTCAAAAAATATTTTCCAAAATACACCAAACAACTTTTCAGCATTTTATCCAACTTTGATATAATTTTTCAAATATTACCAAATACATTCTCAGAATCCTATTATATTCGATTTAATCCAACTCACCTAAACTTTTAATAGTTTTTCAAAATAACATATTTCAAATAATCTAACAAACAGGCCCTAAGCTTCTGTGTTTTGAAAGCAAATGAGTGCCCATCAAACTAACATCACATACACATACACAAATTCAAACCCATGATTTGAATTGGTAGGTTAATCAGAGCCACATAGAAGCATTGATAAAATAAGAGGCTTTTAATCATTCAAATTCCACAAGGGGGTTTTCATTCACAACCACAAGCAATTCGACATAAGTACACCATTACATATCTAAACCAGTAGTATTAATGACATGAAAGATGTTGACACCACATCCATGCGCCAAACAAAGGCTAACCATATATTGCTGTGTTGAGTCTGCTGATTGGTTGTGATTCTTATGAAAAAGTGAAGTGAACGAGGTAGAAAGAGGAGGGATGGAGAAGGGCGACGGTGAGCTGATGACTATTGTGCTGACTAGTTGCATGTGATTCTTGTGAAGAAGTGGAGTACTGAACGGAGGTGGCAGAAGAGTAAATAACAAAGTGTCTTAGGGTTTAGAACTTTAGATAGGAGTTAGGACTGCCAATTTTATTTATAGATTTAGGGACGTTTAAAAAGACCAGATTTAAAAACCGATTCCGGTTAATCAGCTTTGAATTTTGGATAAATCGATAACCGGACCAGTTTTTCGCTTTTCTCATTTTCACAAATCGAAACCGAACTGGTTACTTTGGAAAATTTGTTTTTCGGATCGGTTTCGGTCTGATTTCTCGATTCAGTTCGGTTTTTGGATTTTTTTTTTTGCAGCCCTACTTCTAAGTAGGGATAGCCATATAGGAAAACATGGGGGGTTCATGCTTTAAAATTCTCACAATTTTATTATCTTATTTAGCATGTTACCGTTTGACATTCAACCTTAGCATGCTTCTACAAATAAGACACTCCATAAACTTGTGTTGGTACATGGCCATTCTAACACCAATTTCCTCGAGCTTAGAGGAAGTTGGTAGGACACCCTAGGTTTATTATTCTATTAAAAAAATAAAACATCTTCGAGATTCAGATTCTTCACGACTTTGCCTCATCTTCAAAGCCTATTCTACTTTATATATAAATTTAAAGGAATCTCGAGTTACATTCGAGGGGATTTAGATGAGAAGAGAATTTACATTGAAGAATGGGAGGTAAGACAGGACACGCAGGCCTATTTAAAACAAACAAATCCAAAATAATAAAACTTAAGGTCTATGGTCGAGTACCAAACACCATGCATAATAGATACCAATCATATAATGCATAAATTCAAATTTATCATATTTGAGTTGTCAGGTAAATTTTCTTTACCCCTTTTAATTTTGCAAAGTTTTTATTGTCCCTAAACTTTGTAAAATTATAGTTTAGTCCTTGTCTAGTTTAAAAAATGACTAAACAGTCCAAAATAGCGACAACTTATTCTTTTATTGATATATAAGCGTAAAAGTTTAAAACGCTTTTCTCCAATCCCGAAAATACCTTTATCCCGTGACAACAGGTAAGTCCTTTTCAACCCTCTAATTCCCACACGAAAGATCATGGGTAGACCTAGTAAAATGGGTGGGTGGGCCAAGTACGGATCGGGTCATCACAGGACAGGCCAAACGGGTACGGGTCGAAGTATACAGGTTCAAAATATTGGACCCATACCCTGCCCTATGCGGGTACGGGTGGACCCACAGGTATCGGTTTTTTCTCTCTCCGGGTTTTAGCTTTTTTTCACCCCTAAAAGTTTTCAATTATGACAGTTACACCCCAAAATTCCTATAGTTTTAATTTTTACATTTACACCCCCTAAATCAACTACTCTAAATTCAATTCAATTTAGAATATAAACAAATAGGAACCAAAATAAACAAATAACACATAAACAAACAATAACATATAATACAAAACTACAAATACCAACAAAAATAAACAAATACATAATCACTAATATACAATTACGCATAAACAAACAAAATAACTTAATAAACTATAAATACCAAGTAAAATAAACAAATACATAATCCAATATTCAACAAAAAACATTCTTAGGGCAGCAAATGTTCATCCCACAGTGGGGGTGATAGAATCTCATGATTTCATAGTCCCGAGATTAGTTAATGGCATATCAAGATCATCATCCGAATCATCATTCACCTCATCATCTATAAAACAATGATCAACTACAAATATTAATAAATGTAAATAATAAAATATATGAAATATTATGTTAACATGTTACCTGTAAACTCATATCCATATAGCCAAGTTCGAGTGCTTATCAAAGATTCTGCATTTTTTTGTCGAAGTGAGCTTCGATATTTGTTGAGCACTTTACTACCAATACTATAAGCGGACTTCGAGGCAATGGATGTTATTGGTATTGCCATGATACATCTAAATTTTTTTTTTTTTTTTTTTTTCACATCTGTGATACATCCAATAGCCACAAACGTTCTACTTCAAAGTAACAAATACTCATAGGGTTTGTCAATTACAGAGCTTATGACACTAGCTATCAGTAACAAAATGCAATTAAAAGAAAAACTACTCAATAAAAACACGATGAAATAGAAAGTCTAGCACATAGCTTTCAGATAATTTCACATCAAAATATGTGCTTCCGCAGCATCTAAATGCCTAAGAAATGTAATCTCATTAGTAATTCAAAAACAACAGAACAGCTAAATGCAAAAATTTCATAAAAAATTAGGGCTACAAGAACAGAATCTCAAAGACCATTGAAACAGAGCACCATTGTGAAAGCCACCATTCCGAGATGCTTATAGAAAATATGTTAATATAATGCCCTGGTTAACCACACAAAGACCTTAGGGGCCACATGTAAGAATGTTAAGCAAAATATTGTGCAGCAAGCATAAAAGTCAAGAGCTGCAGTAATAAAATATCACACAAAATATTTGCTTTCCTACTGAAGTAGTAAAGCACCTGACTTAAGAAAATGTCATTATCTCTAGGGAGTCCCTCAATATTTTTATTATGCCTAGGATACAAAATTCTTAATTAGGGGACTGGAGTTCAGCCTGTCGATTGACAGTTCCATGTGAATCCATCCTAAATCCACAGAATGTACAAACAAGAAACTAAGACAAATAATCCTGGTAGACAATTTACATGAAAGAAAAAAGGAGATGGTTATTAAATTGGCATATTAATTGGCATGTTTCAGTCCACTTCTCTTTCACAAGCTATCAAATGGACATATTAATTTACAAGAAAGAACAAAGGAGGCGGTTATCTAAAAGTCTCGAGCTACTTTAAAGAGTCAATCAAGCACCAGTACACAACTAAATCCATGACAAAAGAAATCATTCCTCTTATTATGCATATATCAACAGCGGAGATGCAAGAATGAAGGAATAAAAAACTGAGTTATTATTGTAATTAGAAGAACGTAACTGGTCATGTTTGTAAAAAGAGGTAGATTTGATTACTGAAAGAATTCGTAAAAGAGAATGAAACTGAAGAGAACTAAAAAGAAGAGCCTATAATATAAGTTCATGCTCTTGTTGGAACAGTATCGCATCAAACATGAGGATTTAAGGTAACATTAAGAAAAACAAATCTTGAAACCCAACTCACCGATCTGCCACTGCAATGGTGGGGAGGAGAGCCATGAGTCTTGCGATGGAGAGAGACAGGAGATGACGAGCTGACACTCGACGACGACGACAAAGAGAGGAGATAATGAGCCGACGAGGATGAGTAAGGGTGATCAGCGAC